ATTCCAATTTCCTTCACCTTCCTGTTTACTTTCTCCCTAACCGGTATGTCTTAATTCCTGTTATCTTGTTCTATTCTATATGTTTATGTAGTCAGTTTTATCACAGACCTCAACATGCTTCTGTTTGATACATGATTCCTTACCATCTCTTTCTCAACTGTTATGCCTTAGTTCTTGTTATCTTGTTCTGTTCCATGTGATTATAGGATTATTTTACTTTAAACCTCGATATGTTTCTGTTTGACATATGTTTCCTGTTTGCTTTCTTGCTAACTGGTATGCCTTAATTCCTGTTAACCTACTCTGTTCTATGTGCTTGTGTGTTTAGTTTACCTTATCATGTCTGGCCCATGATTTCTGTTGACTTCTTTTTAGACTAGTATGCTTTAGTTCCTGCTACCCTGTGCTATGTGTTTGTTTGGTTAGTTATTTCAAACTTCAGCATGTTTATGTTTTCTACATGCCTATATAGTCCCACCTAGTGATAATTAATAAACTAAGTAATCTTTAGTAATGTGAAACCTTGATGGATTCAGTTGTATGCTCCCTATTCAGAACATGTTAGGTATTGCCTATATTTGTGTCAGTTCTGTCTGTAAATCAAGTATATCTGCTCTTGTTGTGATTGCTTTAATTACTGGTATATCATCCATGTCTGAACTGATACCAATCTGCTAAATATGGACTCTGTTCTGTTTGTAGTCTTGTAATTTGAACCAGTTTGTTCCTAAAAATCAAACTGCTTTCTAAAACTGTCCCATACCCCTTATATATACTAATTTTCCAACTTCTACTCTTAGCTATCTAGGTTCCTACTACCTCCAGTGTGAGCTCTGCCTAGGGTCCCTATGACTCCTTTGAACTCTAGCACATTGGAGTTGGTTTTCCAATCTCTTATAAATACTGTGTTGAATGTGCGGATCCAGTGTGAGCATTGCCCGTGGTCCTTGAGGCTCCTTGGGAATTTTGACACACTGGAAGCCTGGCTTAAGGTGTTGTGGATCCCTGCTACTGTTTCAAGGCTGTTGTGTTGAAGGCCTGGCTCTCAGGTTTTTATCGGGCCTGCTAAGGCTCCCTATAGTGTAATAGATATTGTTATATAGTTTATCCATTATGGGCTGTAATAATTTCTGTAATAAACAAATCCGGGGCTTGTTAGTAAAAGTTGGGGGGTTTATCCTATATCTTTGCTTGAAACTTGGGTAAAAATCCAGTTATATGTTTTTTTTTTGGTGATTATGTGAATGTTACTACTTATTTAGAGATCATGTCTATAGGACTTTATGGCTGCTTTGTTCTGTACATCACTCGCATGCTAGAAATCATGTTCATGGACTCTTTGCATTAGAAATCATGTCCATAGGATCCTCGCACATTTTTACATGCATTAGTAACCATGTCAATAGGATCCTATCTGTTTGAATAATAATTTTCCTCGCTGTGTGCTTAAAGAATTCTGCCCACATGTGACTAATAGATATCGTGCCTATAGGAACTAAAAATCAGTTAGATACCATGTGTTGATAGGCTATTACGTATTTTAGTCGATTATTACACTCAAATTTACAACACTTTGATTGAGTTTGAGCTTTAATCGCTAGTGTCTTGCACTACTGTGTGTTTTATGCCTTGTAGGAGTGATTCCAAGCTATATAGATGTTATGGAATGAATTCAAGTGAGTTGGAGCTTTGAAGTCTGAGTAAAAGCTCAAGGAATTAAGCCGGAATCGTGTTTGGGGGTCAACGGATGATAGTTAGAGCGAACGAAGAATCGAGTAGGCATATTGCGCACTGTCTAGTAAAATGGATATAACCTTTTGCTCAGAACTCCATTTGGTCTCCATAATATATGGTTGGAAAGATAACTCAAAGGGCAATAACTTTCATGTTTTACGTTATTCCAAATTCCAAACAGAACGGGGCGAAACGCGCAAAATTTGAGACAAAACGAACGAAACCGGGAAAAAAGGGCCAGTTGGGCGCCACAGGCAGCGCCTGGCGCCACCTGTGGCGCAAAAAATAGTATGCACAAATATTTGGGCGCTATGGAGGGCGCCTGGCGCCGGGTTGGGCGCCGGTGACGTGAAATGTGTCCTATTTCGCCCGGGACAAGGTTATTTTGGCCCTAGACCTACCCAACACGTATAAAAGCAAGACAAAACCTAATTTTGTAGGGGGGAGACGCCACTTTGGAGTAAAAAAACACACGGGATCTTGAGGAAGCGGAGAATTCTCAGTTTTCTTCATCTGTTTCTAGTATTTCCAATTGATTCAACACTTATGCAATTATTAGATTACATCATGAGTGGCTAAACACCCATTGTTCTGGGGTTGTGATTAAGCCATGAATATTATTGTTTGATATTGACTTAACCTTGATTATAATTCGCCAACATATGATTGTTTCTTCAATTCTGTGTTTAATTGCTTAATTGTCTGGCCAGCAGTTAAGTTCTATTTACTATCTATGCTATGCTTTGGAAAGCCGTGTTTAGATTAGAGAAGAATTGAAGAGAGCATGATCTTATCCCTTAGGGGGAGCGGATTTGTGGTTAGGATAGGAATATACCTAGTCACCATGCTTAATTAAATATCGTGATCTTAATGTGTTCTTAATAGATTGATTTCATAGGAATATAGGCGTTAATCTATTGAGAATAGGTGAGTAGTACTTCGGGAGAAGGCTATGAGAGCATTTATCGATTAATTAGCAACCATGAGTGAATTAATGAAAGGGAGAGTCAATTAGAACACAATACGACTGGTGAATCGATCACAACCCTGGAATACTCATCTTTACTGAATACACAACAATCGACTTGTTATTTGATAAATTACTTATTATTTAGAATCGTAGTATTGTATAATCATATTATTGGACTTTGATTTTAGCTGGATTGAATAACAATTTTAGTGATTTAGTGAGTAGTTTACACAAGTCTCTGCGGGTTCCACACTCAACTTATCATTATATTACTTCTCGACCACGTATACTTGCGTGTGCGTTTGGGAGCGACGAATTTTTGGCGCCGTTGTCGGGGACTTGAATATTAACTACTTGCTAGTTTTTGCTTTAATTGTTTATTTTGTCTAGTCTAACATTACTTGATTGTTGCTCAGATCTCAAGAACTTTGATTGAATGCGTAGGGTCAGAAGCCAGGACCGACTTCAAGGCTTTAATCCTGAACCTGAGGGAACATTTCACAGGAGGCTCAGGGAAGCAAGGGACACGAATAATATTCAGCCACTTGTTCAATTTCCTGTGGACATGGCGGAGGAGCAACCCATGGTTGTTCACGAGGTGGCGATGCCCAGCATTGCTAATGTCAACTCCAGTATAGTGAAGCACAGGATCACTGGGCACTTTGAGCTGAAACAGAGCATGATCCAGTTACTTCATGCAAGCAGGCAATTTATGGGTCTTCCACACGAGGATGCACAGCAGCATATTCTGAACTTCTTGGAGATTAGTGATACTTATATCACTAATGGGGTCACTCCAGACTATGTAAGGCTCACACTTTTTCCATTCTCTCTGTTGGATGAGGCTAAGCGATGGCTAAAGGCAGAACCAGCTAATTCCATTACATCATGGAATGATTTGGCAAGAAAATTTCTGGCAAGGTTCTTTCCTTCAGGCAAAACCGTAAAGATCAGAAGTGAGATTGTGGCCTTCAAACAAAAAGCGGGAGAATCTTTATACTCGGCATGGGAAAGGTTCAAGGGGCTACTCAGAGACTGTCCTCATCACAATCAGACGAATAAAGTGTTAGCTCACACTTTCATAGAAGGGCTACATTCTGAAACAAAGATCGTGGTAGATGCTGCAGCTGGGGGTCAAGTGTTGGAGAAAAGCTTTGATGAGATATATGCATTATTGAAGAAATTCTCCAAGAGCAATCCGGATTGGCAAGGAGAGATGGGCAGACACACAGTGCAAAAGTCTGCAGGGGTACTTGAGTTAGATGTCGTCTCAGCATTATCAGTGCAGATTGCTACACTGACCAATCAAGTCAACCAAATGAACTTGAGTATCAACAAGCAACAGTTACAACCGGTACAACAGGTTCAAGCTTTTTGTGAAATATGTGGAGAGGGGCACACGAACGACATATGCCCCGCAAATCCAGAGTCTGTCTGCTTTGTGGGTAATTAAAATAGGGGCCAAACAAATAAATATGGGAACACTTACAATCCCAACTAGAGGAACCACCCAAACTTCTCTTGGGGTGGAAGCCAGGACAGTCAGAATCAATACAGGCCTCAAGCACCTCAGCAGCAGTATAGACCACCTCAAGTTGAACAACAAGCAAGTCCTCCAAGTCGCCTTGAAGACATGTTCAAAAAGATGATGGATGAACATCAAGCCCTCGCCACGACAGTGAGAAATTTGGAGCGTCAAATGGGACAGCTTGCTAGTGCCCAAAACACTAGACCAGCTGGAGCTCTTCCAAGTGACACTGAAGAAAATCCTAGGACGGCCCTTAATGCCGTGCCGCTAAGGAATGGGAGACAACCAGAAGAAGTTCAGTCTAAAAAGAGGAAACAGGTGACTTTCAACGAGAAGCCATCCACTATAGAATCAACTTCAGAGAAAGCCAAGGAGCCAGAGAAGCCAGCTGGAGAGGCGGTGGCTGAGCAACCCCCACAATTGGTTGCAAGGCCACCACCTCCATTCCCTCAAATAATGCAGAAATTAAGAGATAATGCTGCGTATAAAAAGTTTCTTGATATCTTGAAGCAGGTGCAAATTAATATTCCATTGGTTGACATCTTACAAGAAGTACCCAAATATGCAAAGTACATCAAGGACATTGTGGCGAATAAAAGAAGGCTCACCGAGTTCGAGACTGTGGCACTGACTGAGGAGTGCAGTTCCAGAATTCAAGACAAGTTACCTTAGAAATTGAAGGATCCAGGTAGTTTCACTATCCAAATCTCGATTGGTAAACATGCTGTTGGGCGAGCTTTATGTGACCTTGGAGCAAGCATCAATTTGATGCCGCTATTTATATTCAGACAGTTGGGCTTGGGTGAACCACGCCCAACAACAGTTATCTTAAAGTTAGCTGATCGCTCCCTTGCTCATCCTGAGGGAGTGATTGAAGATGTGCTAGTTCAAGTGGGGTCTTTCATATTCCCAGCTGATTTCATCATCCTGGATTACGACCGTGATCAGGAAGTCCTATTTATTTTGGGGCGTTCATTCTTAGCCACGGGTCGAGCTACTATTGATGTCTGCCAAGGAAAGATGACAATGAGAGTGGCTGATCGAGTGGAGGTATTCAATGTTTATAGAGCACTCAAGTTACTAGCCCATTATGAAGAGTTATCCATGATCTCTGTGGTGGAAAGTGAGGCCACATTGTTAGTACCCTATATGAGACCTGAAGATCTTGTTGAACGAGTATTGATTGGGGACGTAGAAAATAGTGAAGATGAAAGGGTAGGAGAAATTGAGCAAGTGCTGGATACGTCCTGCAGTTATGTACATGGGGTTAGAAAATTTGAAGAGTTAGACAGGCCTGTCACTCTGACTCTCCCCAGGCCATCTATTGAAGAAGCTCCGAAGCTAGAACTCAAGCCACTTCCAGCGCATCTACGCTATGCTTATTTGGGGAACTCAGAGACACTGCCCGTAATTATTTCATCCAGCTTGACCAGCACTCAAGAAGAAAAATTGGTCAGAGTCCTCCGCGAGCATAAAAAGGCCATTGGGTGGACTATAGCTGACATCAAGGGTACTAGTCCATCAAATCTTTTTAGAGGACGGACACCGCCCCGGTGTAGAACAGCAAAGGAGATTAAATCCCATTATGAAAGAGGTGGTGAAAAGGAAGTAATCAAGTTGCCCGATGCAGATATCATTTTTCCTATTTCTGATAGCAACTGGGTAAGCCCGGTTCAATGTGTGCCCAAAAAAGGAGGATTGACTGCAGTTGAGAATGAGAAAAATAAGCTAATCCCACTCGCACTGTTACGGGATGGAGAGTCTGCATTGATTATAGGAGGCACAATAAGGCAACTTGCAAGGATCACTTCCCACTCCCATTCATCGACCAAATGCTAGACAGGTTAGCCGGACATGAATATTACTGCTTCCTTGATGGTTATTCAGGATACAATCAGATTGTCATATGCCAGAGGATCAGGAGAAGACTACTTTTACCTGTCCTTATGGCACTTTTGCCTTCAAGCGAATGCTGTTTGGTCTTTGTAATGCACCAGCCACTTTCCAGAGGTACATGATGGCTATTTTCACCGACATGGTGGAAAAATTCGTGGAAGTGTTTATGGATGATTTTTCAGTTTTTGGGTCTCCTTATGATGATTGTTTGAGGAATTTAAGCAAGGTGCTAGCCCGTTGTGAAGAAACAAATCTGGTACTAAATTGGGAAAAGTGACATTTTATGGTATAAGAAGGCATCGTGCTGGGTCACAGAGTATCCAGGAGCGGCATTGTAATTGATAAAGCGAAGGTGGAGGCGGTTGAAAAACTACCTCCACCTATTTCAGTGAAGGGTGTCCGGAATTTCTTGGGACACGCGGGTTTCTATCGGTGCTTTATTAAAGATTTTTCAAAAATTGCTACTCCTTTGTGCGGGATGCTTGAAAAAGGTGTAACCTTCAACTTTGATGATGCTTGCCTCAACGCATTTGAATAACTTAAAAAGAAGTTGGTGACTGCTCCCATTATTGTGGCACCTGACTAGTCTTTACCATTTGAACTTATGTGTGATGCGAGTGACCTTGCTATTGGGGCAGTGCTAGGCCAGAGGAAGGACAAGGTGTTTTATTCCATCTACTATGCGAGTAAGACTCTTGATGATGCACAGCTGAATTATACCACCACTGAGAAGGAGTTGCTAGCTGTTGTGAGGGCTTTTGAGAAATTCCAGACATACTTCGTGGGAACGAAAGTCATAGTCCATACGGATCATGCGACAATCAGGTATTTGTTTACATAAAAAGAATCTAAAGCTCGTTTCATGCACTGGGTTTTATTGCTGCAGGAATTTGATGTAGAAATACGAGATTGAAAGGGGACAAAGAACCAAGTAGCGGACCACCTATCAAGGTTGGAAAATCACGATCACGTGGAGGAGGGTGGCCAAATTAAAGAAGTATTTCCTGATGAGCAACTTTTTGCTATAACCCAAGACCCTCCCCCATGGTACACGGACTATGTGAATTATCTTGTGAGTGGGGTACTTCCTCTCGAAATCCAAACTGAAGCTAGAAAGCGGTTTTTACATGATGTGAACTTCTACTACTGGGATGAGCCCTATTTGTTCAAGCAATGTGCTGATCAATTGATGAGGAGGTGCATTCCTGAAAAAGAGGTAGAATTAGTGTTGTATGATTGTCACGCATCACCTTACGGGGGCCATCATGGAGGAGATAGAACAGCTGCAAAGGTGCTACAATCCGGTCTCTTATGGCCAACTTTATTCAAGGATGCCCATGCATTCGTTAAGAAGTGTGACCAATGTCAGAGAACGGGAACAATCACAAGGAGGCATGAGATGCCTTTAAATAACATTCTAGAAGTTGAGCTTTTTGATGTGTGGGGAATAGATTTTATGGGGCCATTTCCACCATCCAGAGGAAACAAATACATATTGCTAGCAGTTGACTACGTGTCAAAATGGGTGGAAGCAATTGCTTTGCCAACGAATGATGCCATGGTAGTAGCTGCTTTTGTGAAAAAGAACATATTCTCAAGATTTGGGACTCCACGTGCCTTAATCAGTGATGAAGGGACTCACTTTTGCAATCGATTTTTGAATAACCTTCTAGCTAAATATAGAGTTCGCCATAGAGTTGCTACAGCATATCATCCGCAGACAAGTGGGCAAGCTGAGGTGTCAAACAGAGAAATCAAGCAAATATTAGAGAAGACGATGAATGTGAATAGGAAGGATTGGGCAGCAAAGTTGGATGATGCCCTATGGGCATATAGGACTGCATATAAAATGCCAATTGGAGCGTCTCCTTACAAGCTGGTTTATGGAAAGGCATGTCACTTGCCCGTTGAGCTTGTACACAAGGCATACTGGGCCATTAAAAAGCTGAACATGGACCTTGAAGCCGCAGGTGAGAAAAGACTTATGCAATTGAATGAGTTAGACGAGTTCAGGCTGCGCTCTTATGAAAATGCTAAGTTATATAAAGAAAAGATAAAAAGATGGCATGACAAGCATATCAAGCCGCGTCACTTTGAGCCAAGCCAACAGGTATTATTATTCAATTCTAGACTACGGTTGTTCCCTGAGAAGCTATAGTCGAGATGGTCAGGTCCTTTTGAGGTGGTGAGAATCACTCCTTATGGTGCAATCGAGCTGCGAGCTTTGAATGGTAGAGGAAATTCTTGGTGAATGGTCATAGAGTCAAGCACTATCGGGGAGGAATGATTAATCGACAGAAGACTAAGGTTGTACTCGCTGATGAGTAAGCCAGACTCTGCGTCGTGCCGCGACGTTAAATCAGGCGCTTTTTGGGAGGCAACCCAATTTTTATTGTTTTCCTAGTTTAACTTCTTAATTTTTCTTTTAGAATAGGCAGAGTATGGCATTTTCTTTATAGGTGTAGAACTTTTAGACGTGATGGTGTAGGACATGTAAATTGGGGATATATAAGGTTCAGGGGATCGGGATGTTATTTCAAATAAAAAAAATAGTAGCGTGAACAGCGCCCAGGCCAGCGCCTAGGCCAGTGCCTAGCGCTGCCTGTGGCGCCCAAACCTGTGTGTCCAAAAATCCCAGCGCCAGGAAGGGCGCCAGGCGCCGAGCTAGGGGCTGCCAGGTAAGTTTCTGAGATTTTTTTTTCTTTTTCTCATTTTTATTTTTAAACCCCACACCCATTTAACCCAACCCAATTACCCATTTACACTAATACTAACACCCATACCCTTTTCCAAACCCACCCAAATACAAACCTCCCAAACATTGAAAAGCTGAAAACAGCGAAAATCAAACACAAACAGACAATTTACGCCTGCTTCTGCCGCGTAAGCTCAAAACTTCACGAAAACAAAAAAATACCTCAATTATCTCTCTCTTGCACTCCTCTTCTGGTATTCTTCTCCCTCTCATCTATTTCTTGTGATTTTAACTAATAGATCACAAATACTCCCATTCCCGACGAGCCCTAACTTCCCCACTTGTTTTCCCCCTATCGGTGTCTTATGAATATTTATGTGGTGTGTTGTTTGTCGTACAGTCTGTTTAATGTGTATACGGAGTAGTAAACTAGAATTCCCTCTACTTCGTTGAAAATTGGGAGGGCCACCATGTTCCACCATTTTTGAATTATAAGAACACACTTCATGCCCACATTGTGTTTGTTTAAATGCTTGAAAGAGGATTTTTGGTGCCCGGTGAAGTCTGAGTAACCGGAGGAAATTGTGTATGCATTCGGGCTAAGTGTGGGGTGTACAGGGATACTTTTACATGCCAGGGGATGTGGTTTTGATGAAGAACATGTTATTACACCATTACTTTTATATGTTGTATGTTGTAGAATCTTCTAAGTTAGCCTAATTTAGTATAGTCTAGTATTTGTGAAAGGTGCATTCCATATGCCTTTTGATTACCTTATTGAGAATTCACGTTGCCATGATCACTCATTATTGTGCAGCATGGGGAAGTCTTGAGTACCCATAGCTTTGAGGCGACACACTTCTACTTGTGCCTTCGGTTTAAGTGTGGGGTCTTTTCATGGCTTGCACGACAACCTTAGGCATATTTCTTGAACTATTCTCACACTCATGTTTAATTGTGTTGCAAGATACTATGGCTCGTGATAGAGCTAGCAAAGGCAAAAGCATTGGAAGGTCCTCCACCACTTCTCCTGTGCCCAAAAAGCGCAAGCAAGGTGAAAGCTCTTCAAGGCAACCCAAAGGCAAGCAGGTCGCCGAAGGATCTCAGCCCATGCCAACGAGGAGGCCTCGTTTGCATTTGGTCGATGATGAGGCTATTGCATGGCACAGGGACTTCGTGCCGTCTGGTCGGTATATTTCTGAGATGGGGATTAACAACGAAAGCTTAGGGAGGAAATTCCCGGAGATACTTGACAGGCTGCGAGCTCTAAGGATGACCAAGTTCTTGGACTGCCCGGGGCATGCCAACCTGAGCATGATTCGAGAACTGTATGCTAACTAGGATATCAAACGGTGCACTTCACGTGTAAGAGGAAAAGAAGTGCCGCTGGGCAGGGAGTATTTGTGTAACTATTTGGGGGTTGAGAATGCCGACCCAAGGAGACTCCAACGCTTGATCGAAAGGCCGAAATATATGCTCATACGTCACACTCTTTGTGGTGTAGATTCCAATGCTACATGGATACGGAAGCAGGCCACCACCAAACACCTCTCTACGGTTCGCTTAGACTTCAACAATGCTGCCAAGGTGTGCAAGAACTTTGTGCAGGCGAGACTAATGCCGGGTGAGCACAGCAGCGACTGCACTCGAGCTCGAGTGTGTCTCATCTTCTCCTTGATGACCGGCCGACCAATTAATGTAGCTGCGATCATGCTTAATGAGATGGAGCGCACGAGGTTTGGGCGACAGACTCGGCGGTTCTTCTTTGGCAATCTACTTACTCAGTATATGCTATCTCGAGAGGTCCCGGAGTACCCCGGACATGATGAGGTGGTGGAGGCTCTAGCTGGGCTTATGGACATCACATCTCTGGTGGAGACACCGTCCAAACTCACCCCCGCTGCTCGGATGGAGCGAGAGGAAAACTTCAACAGGTACATTTATAACTCGTTGAACCTACTCATGAGCAGGGTTGGCATTACAGACGCGGAGCGCACACATTTGCGCGATGACTTGTCCAGTGCGTCAAAGGAGATGTTGGGGATTGCACCTGGCAGCCCCGTTCACTCGTCTGAGGACATCAACTCTGCCAAAGGCTCAGATACTGAGGATGAGGATGGCAATGGTGCCACAGGGCCCAGGACTCTGGTGCCTTTCAAACCAGCTGCAGATGGCCCCAGCACTGCTGCGAGGAGTGGACTCTGATTGACAGGGAGTTTTCTTTTCACCCTCCTCCGTTTTTCATTTTTACTTGCATCGAGGGCTATGCATAGTTCAAGTGTGGGGTGGGAGGAATACTACCTGTATTGTATGTTGTATATTTTGTATTAACACCTATTTTGTTTTGTGCCTTTCAGTAGTGCTAGTGTAGTCAGTCTAGTTTAGTATGAGTTGTTGCTTTAATTGAGAAAAAAAAAATTAGAAAAAGTCTGATTTAAAAACACCAAAAAGTATTTTTGTTTTATTTTATTTTATTTTTTTAGAATAGCTAGGTAGTATTCCTTGGTTTTTCTTTAGGCACCGGTTCTTTTCCAAGGATGTAGCTCGAACCGGGTCGCTCTGAGATACTCATTGACATGGTTGATGCTAGCACATTAGGCTATAACATACATTCTGTTTTCCCGTTTATTTGGTTTGAATTGTGAAGCCTAAGTAAAGTAAATAGCCTATTTTGTGAGGCCTTTTCTCAGTTGTTTGACTCGTATGCCACATAGTGCAATATTGCTTAAATTTCTTAATTATGTGTGCTTGCTTGACTTGAGAGTTGAACAGAACCGTCTTGATTGAGTCATGTGCAACGTGTGTGTGGGGAATTATGATTTTCTATGCTATCCTGTGTAGTCTAGAACTTGCCCCGTGTGTTAATTGAAGCGAAATTGTAAGTGTGCTAATCTAGGAGATGACGTAGGCATTTTCTTGCTTGATCATCGATGTGCTTGTCACATAAAAAAAAAGTTTCCGTTGCTAGCCCCTTTGAGCCTATAGACTTTCTTTTGGCACCCACATTACAAGCCATACCCCTATTTTGTTTTTAATTTGATATTGATTGAACCTGTACCTCCTAAGGCACTTAGTCGCTAAAAGAAGTAAAGTTAGAGATTGGGGAGTAGCTTTCGAGTGGAACTATGGAAGGGCCAGTTGGTGCACTAAAGTTGAAATTAAAGGTCACTAGCCGATGAACCTTATCGTATGCAGTGTGTGAAA